GGGGGGGGGGGGGGGGGGGGGGGTATGTTACAGCATACAAATACATTTTAGACAACTGTGTGCTCCCAAACCTGGTGGAAGTCCTGCATGACTGTCCCCTGTGTGCAAAGTCAGCTCCATAAGGACATGGGGTGATAAGTTTGGTGTGGAGGAACTTGATTGTCCGGCACAGAGCCCTGACCTCCTCCCTACTGAACATGACTGTCCCTTATATACAAAGCCAGCTCCATAAAGACAAGGTATGATGAGTTTGGTGTAGAGGAACTTGATTGTCCTCCACAGAGCCCTGACCTCTTCTCTACTGAACATGACTGTCCCCTATGTACAAAGCCAGCTCCATAAAGACATGGTATGATGAGTTTGGTAGAGGAACTTGATTGTCCTGCACAGAGCCCTGACCTCCTCCCTACTGAACATGACTGTCCCTTATATACAAAGCCAGCTCCATAATGACATTGCTTGATGAGTTTGGTGTAGAGGAACCTGATTTTCCTGCACAGAGCCCTGACCTCCTCCCTACTGAACATGACTGTCCCTTATATACAAAGCCAGCTCCATAAAGACAAGGTATGATGAGTTTGGCGTAGAGGAACTTGATTGTCCTGCACAGAGCCCTGAGCTCAACCCTACTGAACATGACTGTCCCTTATATACAAAGCCAGCTCCATAAAGACAAGGTATGATGAGTTTGGCGTAGAGGAACTTGATTGTCCTGCACAGAGCCCTGAGCTCAACCCTACTGAACATGACTGTCCCTTATATACAAAGCCAGCTCCATAAAGACAAGGTATGATGAGTTTGGTGTAGAGGAACTTGATTGTCCTGCACAGAGCCCTGACCTCAGCCCTATTGAACACCTTCGGGGGGAATTGGAATGCTGATTGTGAACCAGATCTTCTCATCCAACATCACTACCTGACCTCACCAATGCTCTTTTGGCTGAAAGGGCACAAATAAGGACCCAAAGACACATTCCAAAATCTTGTGGAAACCCTTTACGGTAGAGTGAAGGATCCTGAAGCCACAGAAGAAGGTGGAGCTGAAACTCCATATGCCCATGGATTTGAAATGGCCAACAAACTCATACAGGTGTGATGGTCAGATATCACAGATATGTTTGGCCATTAGATGCTTGTATTAGCGCTAGATGACAAGTCAAACGCAACTTACACTCTTCACTTCCCTCTTCTTCCTCATTGTCTTCCTCCTCACAGGGGACCTACGAAGGAGAATATGGTCTCTGTAACAGCTTTTTTTTTGTCTATTCGAGGTTTATTATGAAAGCAGCTTTAGACACACTCACCTTCACAGAGCTGTCTTCTTTTTTCCCAGATTTCTTCCCTCCCCTGAAAAAAGAATCATGACCAATTTTAAGCAGAAGTCAATGAGCTAGAATGTTTATGGATTGTGGGAGGAAACCATGCAGAAGATGAGAAAATGCTAATTGCACGTATATAAGATGTGCTGACCTCAATCATCCAATCACGTGCAAGCAAAAAGCCTGTTTTTTTATTGTTTTTATTTGCTTTGCACACGATTGGATACATTTTAAATGTGAGTTTTTATATTGTTTCTACTTATTCACTAAGAAAAGTGAACATTTTCTACTCGCTGAGTAAATCAACCTCACCGTTTCTGGTTGGGACCCATGGCTGCAAGGCAAAAATGGTGCCCTGGGTGTTATAACTTGCAGAATTCCATTATTAATAACTGTGTATTATGTAGACAGTGAGATGTACCCACAGCCAGCGGTGGAATGAACGTTAAATAAGGTGATGCCATGCTACAGTTTTTTGAGCCAAGTTCTTCCCGCACACTTAGGTGGCAGTGTGGCCATGTTGCATGTGACTTTGCACATGCCCGTTTCATCAGGGCTGAATGAGAGAAATCATGTAGGTGGACTACCATACCTACGGATTGAAAGTTGTATTGAGTTGTAATAAAGAGTACTTAAAGGAGAACTATGAGGTGAGTGATTTACACTCGTAGTTAGAGCCGACCTGTGACATTGAAACGGTCACATGTCGGCTCTATAAATCGGGAAGTGAGTGAGCACATTCAGTCGCTCGCTCACTTCCCGATCATCTTCCTGCAGTGAGTGGTGACTGTCAGTCACCGCTCCCCACAGGGATTCCCCCCTCCCCTCTCCAATCCTCCAGCGCTGACTGGAGGAATGGACAGGGGAGGGGGCGGGCACAGCTGGCTCTGGCTCTAGATAGGCAGCGCCCGCTGTCAATCAGCCACCTGGGTGGATCTTGACAGTATTGTCAGGATCCGTCCCGGCTGCGGCGCTCTCAGTATATAGCGAGCTTTAGTCCGCTATATACTGAGCTTTGGGTCACGGGAGGACATTAGTATATGTCCTCCCGTGACCCTAAAGGGAACTATGGGATAAAAAGGTTACCCCCATAGTTCTCTTTTAAGCTGTGGCTAACTGACTTCCCATCTGAGGAACCCTAGGGTTCTTCTAGAGGTTGCATTTTAGTACATGTCCTCCCGTTACCCTAAAGAGAACTATAGGATAAAAAGGTTACCCCCATAGTTCTCTTGTAAGGCTTGTCATCATGGCTGCCAAACCAGCTGCTGACAAACCTGAAGTCCTTCCATCATAACTCAATACAACATTGCAGCTAAGGTAAATCACATGCATGTCTCTCATTAGGCCCTGATGAAGTGTGGGGGTGTTTTGGACCCCTGAAATGCATTGTCTACGCTAATTGAATGTCCACCAACCCTAATGGAATAAATACTTTTTTAATTGTTGCAGCGCTTCAATTCCCATATGGACTGTGTTCACTGTCAAGACATGAACACCGTGGAGATCCTTTGGATTGTGGAAGCTGCCTACCCATTACCCTCATTCATATCATTGAACTATGGGATGAAAAACACCAAGAGAATAACCACACGGGTCCAGCGGTTCCTTTTCACACTTCCAAGCAGATGAAACCCTGGTAAGTATTTTGCCATAATATGTGCTATTAGGAAGATTCCCCTTTACTACCCGTCCTGGAGCCCCAGCAGGGGGTGAGGGAAATCCCCTCTCAGATACTCCCTGTGGTCTTTCCACAATGGGGTTATTTTGCGTTGATCATAAGAATTCCCTTCTCACTTTTTGTCTTTACTGTTAATATTGTCAGCGTCAGCCAAATTGTCCACGGCGATAGCCAAGAAGACGTTCAGTAGGATATCTACACGGGCAGGTTAAGGAAGAGTCTAGAGGAGCTCCAGGGAAGACGTTCAAAAGATCATAAATAACAAATTCTATTATTAAATGTCACAACTAGACCAGGGCAATAGAAGTGCAATACACCATTGGGGGTTATTCACACAGGAGCCGAAGGATCCAGCCGTAGCTTTGTCTCTCTTCGGCCGCCGGAACCCTTCGGTTCAGTCGAACCGAAGGGCTGCTGTACGGGCTATTCACTATAGCCCGTACAGCATGCCGAAGGCATATGCTTCGGCTCGACTGAGCCTAAAGTGACACCCGAAGCAGGGCGAATGGCCTACCGTAGGCCCGGCCGTAAGCCCCACAAATGACAGCTGGGCAGGGCCAGCCGTGATCTCACGGCTGGATCCGGCCAGTTGTAATGACAGATCAACATCCCCAAATGACCCGGGGATGCTGATCTGTCATTAAACAATAACAACTGGGCGGAGCCGGCTGTGACGTCACGGCCGGCTTCGCCCCGGTTGTTATTTATTGGCTGGGACCTGCTAGAAGACTCTAGCAAGTGCCAGTGTTCTATCAAAGTTTGTGACTGCGTTAGAATGTGTGACCGGGGAGCATTTTCTGCTGACCAAAGTGCAGCCAAGGCAACTGATGGACAGCTTATTTCAGTCCATGTACGGCTGAAATTGGCCACTCTGAGCTGTAGTGAATAGCCGAACGTCATTCGGCTAACTTAACTTCGGCTCGGTTATTCAATCGGCTGCCTTCGGCAGCTTTGTGGATAACCCCCTATCGTCTCTCCTGCATTTTCTGGGCTGTCCCAATAATGAAGCAGGCATCTCTTTGGGTCAGGTGAGAGGGGCGGTTGAAAAGAGTTTGGCGTGGAGATGAGTAAGGGCCATACACATCTGCCCTTCCAGCTCTCAGCGCTCTGGGATGCTCTGGCCGGCATCCCGCCTTGCTCCTGGCAGGCCAGTGACATTTTTTGGTTGCCAGGAGCTGAGCGGGATGCTCTGGCCGGGCTCCCGACCAGTTCCTGGCAACCAGTAACGTCAGTGAGCTGGGTGGGACACCGGCCAGAGGTGGGTGGTGCACCACCAGGGTGGCGGCCAGAACAGTCTTAGCGTCCACCAATAGCCCTCAACCCCACTCCCCCTATTTCTTATGCTCCTCAGCTCCATCTAGTGACCATAATGCAGTATTACAATCCTTTACATTTGCCCTGAAAATAAAATATACTAAGAACACTAGTTTGTGCCTCTATATGCATAGAATGATGGTTCACAAAGAATGCCTCTGCAAATTGTTGACAACTAGACCCCTTAGTGCTTCCAAGTCAGGTCTGTATGAGGCCCTGTGTCTCTGTAGCTCTGTGAATTGGTTATCAGCGTCGGAGAAGTTCTAATATTGTCCACCAGCAGGATACAGTTTCCACAAATGAAGAGGATGATGAAATATATACAGACCAGCATTCCAGGAAAAAATGGTCCCCCATAGGCCATGATCCCATCGTACATCACTGCATTCCAGTCCTCTCCTGTAAGGATCTGCATAATAACCACGGGGAGAAGAAAAAGGATGGAGATGACAGATTGGTTATGAAAGAACACAAATTCAGTGGGGAAAAAGGAACAAAATGTATAATTCAGCAACGTTAATGGATACCTGCTGTTCAGCTATTAAAAGAGAAGTACAAGGCGAGTGCTTTTCACTCACCTCATAGTTCTAGCCGACCTGTGACAAAGTCGGCTCAGGAGATCGGGAGGTAAGGGAACACATACCGGCGTTCACTCCCCTCTCGATCCTGTCACGGCTCTCTGCCGTGACAGGGGAGGGGCTGGATTCCCCCCTCCCCGCTCCGATGCGCCAGCGCTGACTGGTGGAACGGACGGGGGAGGGGGCGGGTACAGCTGGCTCTGCCTCTAGATAGGCAGAGCCAGCTGTCAGTCACACAGCTGGGCGGATCCCAGCACAATTGTCGGGATCCGCTTCAGCTGCGGCGTCTCAGTATACCGCGAGCTACAGCTCCCTATATACTGAACTTAGGGTGACGGGAGGACGCTAGTTTGTGTCCTCCCGTTACCCTAAGGAGAACTATGGGGAAAAGCCTTAACCCCATAGTTCTCCTTTAACTTACAAGGCCTGGTGCCTATGTTTAGTAGAGAACGCTTGGGCTTCCAGAATAGATTAGATACGCTACCCGAAATCACTACCTAAGGAATATAACATTCTTCTTAGAACCTTTGTAGACCTGATGGAGGAATCTCAAACCCTTACCATGGCACCTGAGGCTAGACATGGGCAGCGGCTAAAAATGTGTTTCCTTTAGTTTCAGATTTCGTTTTTCGGAATTCGTGTCCTATATGTGTTTCGTTTCGGGAATCGGATTCGTCTTCGGATCTGATTCGAAATTCGGATGAATTCCCGAAAATGCAACTTGAGGTGGGGTAGCAGAATTGCCACATTTGTCATTTCTGGTTGCTGTGCTCTCGTCTTTACTAAGAAAGGGACATTAAAATCCTTTTCTTAATTTGTTTTTATCCGTTTACATGTTAACAGTGCACGCACAGGATTTGGACAAAATTCGTTCTAAATCCGAAAGTTCGGATTCGAAATTTCGGATTCGGATGCTTTCGGATGCTTTCGGATATGTCATATTTTGGAAATTCGGATGCTCCGAATCTATGAAATTGCGTCCGAATTTCGATTCAGGAACGAAACGAATCGCACACGTCTACCTGAGGCCCTAGTTCTGTCATCCTGGCACGCCCTTCACATCTCACTCAACTTCAAACATGACAACCTTGTTTTCCAACCCACCCTGGACGGTTCATAGTAGAATTTACCCGGGACTGGGTAACTATATTTTTAGGCATAAAAGCCAATAATAGATAAATGAAAACCAAGTAAAAACCTTCTTCCGTAGTGCGGAAGGGGTCTGTGATTGCCACAGTACAATCTATTTTTAAAAAAATGGATGACCAACCAGGTTCCATCTTTCAAATGAAGCAGGTAATCTGGTCATCTTGAGAAGCTCCTCCACAGTTGGACACCTGATGGTGGGATCTAAAACCCTTACATCAACACCTGAGACTCCATTTCTCCATGTTTACTGTGTCTATCTCAATTAACTTCACACATGGCAAGCTTCTTTTCAACCCCATGTTGGACAGGTCATAGTAGAGTATAGCTGGAGCTGAGTGACTATATTTCTAAGCATAAAACCAATAATGAATGAATCAAAGTATAAATGTTCTTCCACAGTGGGGAAGTGGTCTAAGCCCATACACAATTGCCACAGTACAATCCATATAAAAAAAATGGATGACCAACCAGGTTTCATCTTTTAAATGAAACAGGTAATGTGGTTATCTTGAGAACATCCTCCACAGTTGAAGGCCTGATGGGTGAGGATCTAAAACTCTTACATCAGCACCTGAGACTCCAGTTCTCCATATATACCGTGTCTGTCACATCTCATTCAACTTCAAACATGGCAAACTTGTTTTCAACCCCATGCTGGACAGATTATAGTGGGTGACTATATTTCATAAAACCAATAATAAATATCACCCAGTATAAAGGTTCTTCCATGGTGGGTCAGGGATCTAAGCACATACCTGATTACCACAGTACAATCCATTTAAACAAAATGGACAACCAACCAGGTTTTTTCTTTGAAATAAAACAGGTAATCTGGTCATCTTGAGAAGCTCCTCCACAGTTGGACACCTGATGGGGGGATCTAAAACCCTTACACCTGCACTTGAGGTTCCAGTTCTCCATGTCTACCACATCTCACTCAATTCCAACCATGGCAAGCTTGTTTCCAACCCCATCATGGACAGGTCACAGTGGGTAACTATATTGCTAGGCATAAAACGAATAATAAATATTCAAAACAAAGTATAAATGTTCTTCCATGGTGGGGCCGGGGTCTAAGCCCATATGGGATTACCACAGTACAATCCATATAAAAATGGACGGCCAACCAGGTTTTCATCTTTCAAATGAAACAGGTAATCTGGTCACCTTGAGAAACTTTTCCACAGCTGGACACCTGATGGTGGGATCTAAAACACTTACATTAGCACCTGAGGCTCCAGTTCTCCATGTTTACTGTGTCTATCAAATTAAACAGGTCATCTGGCCACCTTGAGAACCTCCTCCACAGTTGGAGACCTGATGGTGGGATATAAAACCCTTACATTAGCACCTGAGCCTCCAGTTCTAAATATTTACTGTGTCTCTCAAATGAAACAGGTCATCGGGTCACCTTGAGAACCTCCTCCACAGTTGGAGACCTGATGGTGGGATCTAAAACCCTTACATTAGCACCTGAGACTCCAGTTCTCCATGTCTACTGTGTCTATCAAATGAAACCGGTAATCTGGTCATCTTGAGAGGCTCCTCCACAGTTGGGAGACCTGATGGTTCAGTTCTCCATGTCTACCACATCTCACTCAACTTCAGACATGGCATTCCTGGTTTCAACCCCCATGCTGGACAGGTCATAATGGAGGACTATATTTCTAGGCATAAAACGAATAATCAATAAATAAATCACAGTATTAATGTTCTTCCATGGTGGGGCAGGGGTCTAAGGCCATATGTGATAACCACAGTACAAGCCATTTAAAAAATGGACAACCAACCAGGTTTCGTCTTTCAGATGGGACGAAACAGGTACCGTAATCTGTTCATCTTGAGAAGCTCCTCCACAGTTCTTCCAGTGTTCCATAAATGACCTCTACAGCAAAAGAGCTGAAACCTATAGCAGCCAAGTGGAAGCTTTACTGTGGACAGATTAATGAGACTGGTTTCTGATTATAGCTCACTACCCACCTTAGACTTGTACAATCAAACTGTATAAGAGATCCCTGCCCCATGAAGCCCAATCCAAAAGTCAAGAATGGTCACCTGGAAGACGGTGAGCAGCGCCTGGGGGAACGTGTCAAAAGTGCTCCTTTTGGTCTGGGTCTCGTCGAAGTTGAATTTCCCTCCGAAGAGCTGCATCCCAAGCAAGGAGAAGATGATGATGAAGAGGAAGAGAAGCAGCAGTAAAGAAGCAATGGATTTCATGGAGTTCAGCAGGGAGGCGACCAGGTTACTTAGCGATGCCCAGTGTCTGTATGTTGGAGAGGACAGTGATGGCAAGGTGGGAGAGAGAGAGAAGGATGCCAGAAGATACACCATGTTCCTTATGAAATACACACAATGTCATGCACTATAAAGACAAAAATATACTATATAACACCGGATCCTACAGGGCCTGTGCCGATGGGCTTTAGTTAGGGTTGCCACTTGTCCAGGATTCACCCGGACAGTCCCGTTTTTGAGTCTTGTGTCCGGGTTTCCAGCCAGCTGACACAAGGACACAAGATACTAACTGCCGATGCCGGCTTGCGAATGCCGTTTTTTTAACCTATAGCCAAATGTGCGGGTTGCTTCATGTTATATTTACCATACCCCCTAAACGTGATACCCCCTTTACCGATCCCTTCTCACTCTCACATTGTAGCACTCACATACCTAACAAAAAAACCCTCAAGATTTAACTACAAGGGGCGTAGTGGTGGAGAAAAGATTTCACTACAAGGGGCGTAGTGGTGGAGAAAAGATTTAACTACAAGCTGTGTAGTGGTGGGGAAAGGATTTAACTACAAGGGGCGTAGTGGTGGGGAAAATATTTAACCACAAGGGGCGTAGTGGTGGGGAAAATATGTAACTACAAGGGGCGTAGTGGTGGAGAAAAGATTTAACTAAAAGGGGCGCAGTGGTGGAGAAAAGATTCAACTACAAGGGGCGTAGTGGTGGGGAAAATATTTAACTACAAGGGGCGTAGTGGTGGGGAAAAGATTTAACTACAAGGGGCGTAGTGGTGGAGAAAAGATGTTACAAGGGGCGTAGTGGTGGAGAAAAGATTTAACTACAAGGGGCGTGGTGGTGAAAAAAAGAAACTACAAGAAGCGTAGTAGTGGTGAAAAAATTTAACTACAAGGGGCGTAGTGGTGGTGAAAAGATTTAACTACAAGGGGCGTAGTGGTGGAGAAAAGATTTAACTACAAGGAGCGTAGTGGTGGAGAAAAGATTTAACTAAAAGCTGCGTAGTGGTGGGGAAAGGATTTAACTACAAGGGGCGTAGTGGTGGGGAAAAGATTTAACTACAAGCTGCGTAGTAGTGGGGAAAGGATTTAACTACAAGGGGCGTAGTGGTGGGGAAAAGATTTAACTACAAGGGGCGTAGTGGTGGAGAAAAGATTTAACTACAAGGGGCGTAGTGGTGGGGAAAAGATTTAACTACAAGGGGCGTAGTGGTGGGAAAAAGATTTAACTACAAGGGGCGTAGTGGTGGGAAAAAGATTTAACTACAAGGGGCGTAGTGGTGGGAAAAAGATTTAATCAAAAGGGGTGGAGGGGCTTCTTTTCAGATAGAGCGGTTAAAGTCTGGAACTCACTGCCACAAGCAGTGGTATCAGCTGAGAGTATTGAATCAAAAAGCATTTAGATACCTTCTTCAGAGACCGTAACATACAGGGGTACAGGTACTCATAAAAACAAGATCACACGGGGGCTCGTGTACACACACATGCACAATCACACACAGACACACAAAGGTTGAACTTGATGGACCTGTGTCTTTATTCAACCTCTAATACCATGCAACTATGTAACTGACCTGGTGACCTTGAAGATCCTGAGGAGGCGGACGCAGCGCAGGACAGAGATCCCCAGAGGCGACATGATGTGGAACTCCACCAGGACTGTCTCCAAAATCCCCCCGCACACCACAAAGCAGTCAAAGCGATTGAAGAATGACATGAAATAGGCGTGGAAACCCAGACTGTATAACTTCAGAAGCATTTCCACGGTGAAGAGAGAAAAAAATGGTAAATGTAAGATAATGGGAAGAAGAAACGGTAGAAATTGCTGGGCCTTATTCATCAGTGTCTATGGGACCCAGAGCAACCAGATTATTTGCTTTTATACTCCCAGCACTCCCAGTACTCCCAACACAAAATGTTTGCGGTACATAATCTTCCTGGCGTGGTTAAACTTTTACAAGTGGCGCTCCACTTAAAGGAGAACTATGAGGTGACGGGGCGACGTGTGACAATGAGACTGTCACAGGTCGGCTCAATAGATCGGGAAGTGAGAACACATACCGGCGCTCGCTCACTTCTCGATCCTGGCCCTGCAGAGAGCCGTGACTGTCACTCACGGAGGGGGCGGGTACAGCTGGCTCTGCCTCTAGATAGGCAGAGCCGGCTGTCAATCACGCAGCTGGGTGGATCTCGACAGTAATGTCGGGATCCGTCCCGGCTGCGGCGTCTCCGTATACCGCGAGCTGTAGCTTGCTATATACTGAGCTTAGGGTGATGGGAGGACGCTAGTTTGTGTCCTCCCGTTACCCTAAGGAGAACTATGGGGAAAACACTGACCCCATAGTTCTCCTTTAATGGACTAATGTTGCAAATCTCTGCACCCGCTCTGCATAGAACGTTCTCACATATTTGTTGCCATTACTCTAAACTACTTTGCAGTAGGATTAAGATGCTCCTCTATGGATACATTAAGAAGTAACGGGGACCACTTCTTATATACTGTAGGTGAAGAGGGATGATATTAGGAAGTTTGTTAGTTATATGAAAATTCAGAAATGAACCCTCTGCCCGTGGTGGTACGCCCTCAAACTTTGGCATAAAAACCGGCATCCTTGGTTCCCATATATGGCAATAAATGTTCAAGGTGGCCAACTGCATCAAAGTGATCCCTCCCTGGCAAACTGCGGCAAAGTGATCCCTCTCTGGCCAACAGTGTCAAAGTGATCCTTGTCTGGCTAACTGTATCAAAGTAGTCCCCCTCTGGCCAACAGTGTCCAAGTGATCCCTCTCCAGCCAACTGCCTCAAAGTGATCCCTCCCTGGCCAACAGTGTCAAAGTGATCCTTGTCTGGCTAACCATGTCAAAGTAGTCCCACTTTGGCCCGCTGCATCAAAGTGACCCTCTCTGGCCAACTACTTTAAAGTGATCCCTCTCTGGCCAACAGTTTAAAAGTGATCCCTCTCCAGCCAACTGCGTCAAAGTGATCCCTCCCTGGCAAACTGCGGCAAAGTGATCCCTCCCTTGCCAACAGTGTCAAAGTGATCCTTGTCTGGCTAACCATGTCAAAGTAGTCCCACTTTGGCCAGCTGGGTCAAAGTGATCCCTCTCTGGCCAACTGCGTCAACGTGATCCCTCTCTGGCCAACCATGTCATAGTGAGCCTCTCTGGCCACCAGCATCAAAGTGACCCCTCTATTGCCAACTGCGTCAGAGTGATCCCTCTCTGGCCAAGGCCCCAGCGAGCGTCTGCTTAATCTGTCTGAATATTTGTGTTCGACACTGCGCTGCTGCAAAGCTGAAACTGAGCCCGAGTCTCTTCGTCTCTCCGGCTACCTGTGCGGCCCAGAGCGGCGAGATTGTCAAATATGGGAGGGCAAGAGGGGAGGTAACGGGCCCCCACCCAGCCGCAGGGCTCTCGGCTCTAAACCCAATTCTAAGTCTCTTTGCTGTAGCGTCACTTGTCCTTTCAGGCATCATAGCACTATCAAGCCGATACCAGGCCAGGGAATGCCTGACCAGGAGAGCAGGGTAAGCAAACATACGGATGTCCTGGCCTATATGGAACCAGGTCCTTTGGATCTATAATAACCCTCCTCCCATCTACCCTCTTTGCCGCAACTGTCACCTTGTATCTGCGTCAGCCATTCCGGTTGCCGGTAGTGCTCGGAGGCTATTGTCAGTGTGTTCAGGAAGACCAGGATCAGAACCACCCAGTAGAAGGGGACAGATTTAACAGCCAGGCGACATTTCCTCCGGAAGGTTCGGTTCCATCTCCTCACGCTACGGCTGTTAGAAGATCAATTATAATAATAGCTAATACGCAGTGCTGAAGTACGGCTTCCATTCTGCACAATATAAGCCCATAAAAGAAAAGCCCCTGCCTAGTAGGCCACTTAGTATATCATTGCAAAGACAGCAGGTTGTATATTCAATCATTAAAGCTGAACTTCAGGCAAACTTTAAAGGAGAACTATGGGGTCAGGGCTTTTCCCCATAGTTCTCCTTAGGGTCACGGGAGGACACAACTAGCGTCCTCCCGTCACCCAAAGCTCAGTATATAGGGAGCTACACCCTTGCCTTGCTGTTCCCGGGGACCTGGGGGAATAAATGAGCAAAAGGCACCCTACAATACTTACAATGGCCAACATCATCAGAAATGGATGTTACACAAATTAAAACAAGTCACTTAAAGGAGAACTATGGGGTCAGGGCTTTTCCCCATAGTTCTCCTTAGGGTCACGGGAGGACACAACTAGCGTCCTCCCGTCACCCTAAGCTCAGTATATAGGGAGCTACAGCTCGCGGTATACTGAGACGCCGCAGCCGGGACAGATCCCCACCCAGCTGCATGATTGACAGCTGGCTCTGCCTATCTAGAGGCAGAGCCAGCTGTACCCGCCCCCTCCCGTCCGTTCCACCAGTCAGCGCAGGAGGATCAGACAGGGGAGGGGGGGAATCCCTGCAGGAAGCCGTGAGTGACAGTCATGGCTCTCTGCAGGGATAGATTGAGAAGTGAGCGAGCGACGGTATGTGTTCGCTCACTTCCCGATCTATGGAGCCGACCTGCGACAGTCTCATTGTCACACGTCGGCTCCAACTATGAGGAGGAGTGATTTTCACCTCATAGTTCTCCTTTAAATATGCATTTGAAGTGCATATATAGATGTCGTTTTACCTGTCAATGGGTTTGTATATCTGGCCATCTAGTCCTGACATTCAGGCCTCATTCACACAGCTTACAGTCGGCCCGTACAGATCCGTGCGGCGTGCACGGCCGTACCAGGCTGCTCCCGGGAAGGACAGATGCTGCTTGGGTTTGTACGCAGCAGCCCTTTCTTCTCTATGGGAGCACGCGGCCGTACGCTCACCCGAGCCGCACTCCCGCGCGGATGTCCGTGCTCCATCCTGTCTGCGCCCGAACACGGACACCCGCACCCGCACAGATGTGCACGGATCTGTACGGGCCGGCTCTAAGCTGTGTGAATGAGGCCTAACACAGCATAGCTGGCCTGGTGAAATATAATATATATTAATGGAGAACTAAGAGGTGAGTGAGTTTCCCTCAGCCTCATAGTTCGAGCCGACGTGTGACAATGAAACACGTCGGCTCAATAGATAGGGAAGTGAACGAACACATACCGTCGCTCGCTCATTTCTCGATCCCACCCGGCTGCGGCGGTCTCAGTATATAATGAGCTGTAGCTCCCTATATACTGAGCTTTGGGTGACGGGAGGACGCTAGTTTGTGTCCTCCCGTAACCCTTAGTAGAACTATGGGGAAAAACACTGACCCCATAGTTCTCCTTTAAGCTATATTATATTTGAATGTTAAACCTGCTTGGTTTCTGTTGCTGCCCTGCCCTCATCCAGTATGTGCAGAGGGACAGGCAAGGCTAAGACTACATCAGATTTGGGCGCTTACTCTAGTTGCATTTAAAAATAAATTAAATAAACAACAAAAAAAAATAAAAATGGGGTCTCTTTATATCCTCCAGCTCCAGCTTTAATGGTGGTCGCACGTCAAATACAATAAGAAGTGTGCTTATAAAAATAATAATCTGAGATTATAAATTCCTGATGACCAAACATTACATTTACGAATCTGGTACTCACCAGCAGCCGGTCTGTGACAACTTACTCCTGCGCAAGCAAAAAGAAAACATCAGATAATTAAGGACATAAAGTGGATTGTAACTCGATAAGTTCTCAGTGTCGACAGATCACCGGATTTACTCTCTGCTGCCCCAAGGCCAGGCTCCTCAATGCGCCCCTCTACCCCCCCATGGAGAATGGCAGACCTGCAGGCTGCATACAAGTGCCGGGATCACTTGTACAAAACAAGCGTAGGCTTCCCCGCTGTACATTTAGCTCTGGTCGCCCAAAGCCGGGCTAAATGTAGAAAACAACTACTCTCCTGGCACCCGGAACTGCATGTCCCGAGCATCGGGAGATAGGAATTTCATACCCCTGCCACCCCTCTACTCCCTGCTACCCCGAGGCCTGGGCCTTGGTTGGCCTTGTGGGAAAATCCGGCCCTGAACCACCAGAGAGTCTAAAGGCGAGCAGCTTCTAGTGTTATGATGTCATTAGCACGCTGCCGGCATCTCCTCCCCCTAAGTGATCAGATTGAAGCTTTGCAGTAAGTCACAAGGTAAGAGACTAATCTCTATCCGTCATTTGTGGACACGAACTGCACCAGAGACCGGGATTTACATAACTGTGTCCTCTCTAAGCCGGAATCTCAGTCTAGAACGTTGATGCCGAGCTCAGATGATGCAAAACAAAGATGAACAGGTCCACTTAAAATGTTCCTTTACCAATATACAAATGTATCTTATGCATGACATGGAAGAATGAAATGATGAGATTGACAGATCATGGGAAATGTAGAAGGTAAAGGAGCACTTACATGCACAGGGTGCAGCAGTTGCTGTGCTCGTCATCTATATTCTCGGTGTTGATTGAGGCGGTCTCGCTGGCAGGAAGGCTGGCTACAAGAGGAAGTGAGGAAACAAGGACAATATCACTATACTTCAAAATATTCTAAAATGTGTCACGTTATCCCATGTAAGCAAAACAAAACGTGGCAAATGCCCCGTGCATCTAGGAGACCTGGCTGCCTTCGACTGTGAATTTGCATAGTGCGTCTCTAAGGTGTACTTATGGAAATTAAAACTAGTTCCCAACTGGACCTCTTTGGGAGCCTCTACATTGGAACCAAAGCCCCATGGCCTTCTTTTCTTCACAAGTATTCCATATTTGGAATCCCTATTTTGGAACTAAAGCCCTCTGTCCCTCTTTCCATCACAAATGGACCTCTTCTGGAGCCCCTACCTTGGAACCAAACCCTTCTGTCCTTCACAAATGGACCTCTTTTGGAGTGCCTATTTTGGAACCAAAGCCCTCTGTTCCTCTTTATGTCACAACTGTCTCTTTTTTGGAGTCCATACATTGGAACTAAAGCTTTCTGTCCCTCTTTCCTTCACAACTGGACCTCTTTTGGAGTCCATACGTTGGAACCAAAGCCCTCTGTCCCTCTTTACGTCACAACTGTCCCTTTTGTGGAGTCCATACTTTGGAACTAAAGCTTTCTGTCCCTCTTTCCTTCACAAATGGACCTCTTTTGGAGTGCCTACTTTGGAACCAAAGCCCTCTGTTCCTCTTTTCCTTCATAACGATCTCTCTTTTGGAGTCCCTGCTTTGCGACCAATGTCCTCTGTTCCCATTTTCCTTCACAGATGTTCCTCTTTTGGAATTTCTACTTTGGAACCAAAGTCCCCTGCCCCCTCTTTCCTCCACAACTGTCCACCTTTGGGAGTCCCTACTTGGAAACCAAAGCCCTCTTTTCCTCTTTCTTCCACAACTGTTCCTTTTTTTGTAGAGTTCTATATAAAAATGTAATATTGAATTCATAAAATGCTTCTGATGACGTAAATTGTATGTTCACCTCTCAGCAAATCCAGTCATGTTTAAAAGGAGAACTATGAGGGGAGTGATTTCCACTGATCCTCATAGTTCAGGCCGACGTGTGACAATGAGACTGTCACACGTCGGCTCAATAGATCGGGAAGTGAGGGAACGCATACCGGCGCTCGCTCACTTCTCCATCCTGTCCCTGCAGAGAGCCGTGACTGTCACTCACAGCTCCCCGCAGGGATTCCCCCCCTCCCCGATCCTCCAGCGCTGACTGGCGGAACGGACGGGGGAGGGAGCGGGTACAGCTGGCTCTGCTTCTAGATAGGGAGAGCCAGCTGTCAGTCACGCAGCTCGGTGGATCTCAACAGTAATGTCGGCATCCATCCCGACTGCGGCGGTCTCAGTATAGCACAAGCTATAGCCCGCTATATACTGAGCTTTTGGTGACGGGAGGATGCTAGTTTATGTCCTCCCGTGACCCTGAGGAGAACTATGGGGAAAAACACTGACCCCCATAGTTCTCCTTTAAGTGATTTGTTTTAATTTGTGTAACATCCATTTCTGATGATGTTGGCCATTGTAAGTATTGTAGGGTGCCTTTTATTCCCCCAGGTCCCCAGGAACAGCAAGGAAAGGGTGTCACCTTTGTCTTAATATATCTTCAATGAAAGGTGACCCCCTTTCTCATCTCAGATCCTTGAGAGGAACGTCTTTGTGTACACTTCTTTCATGGGAGTCAGTGTAATGGGAGGTCAATATTTAAAGGAGAACTATGAGATGAGCGCTTTCCACTCACCTCATAGTTCAAGCCGACCTGTGACAATGAGACTGTCACAGGTCGGCTCAGTAGATCGGGAGGGGAGGGAACACATACCGGGTTCGCTCACCTCTCGATCCTGTCACGGCTCTCTGCCGTGACAGGGAAGGGGCTGGATTTCCCCCTCCCCGCTCCGATCCGCCAGCGCTGACTGGCGGAATGGACGGGGGAGGGGGCGGGTACAGCTGGCTCTGCCTCTAGATAGGCAGAGCCAGCTGTCACTCACGCAGCTGGGCGGATCCAAACATCGATGTCGGGATCCGCTGCGGCGTCTCAGTATACCGCGAGCTGTAGCTCCCTATATACTGAGCCTAGGGTGATGGGAGGACGCTAGTTTGTGTCCTCCCGTTACCCTAAGGAGAACTATGGGGAAAAGACTTAACCCCATAGTTCTCCTTTAAAATATATATGTCTGTTGATATCCTCGTCTGCCACTTTCCTAAATCTCACACCAGATTTGTTGGGGTAGCCACAGCCATTTTTTAAACCTAAAGGGGAGAGCTTTAGGTTTAAAAAGGCTGAAGGTTTATTAAAAGGGGCAACTTCAGACAAAACTGGCCAAAAAACAGAAGCTACTATTTGTTCACCCTTTGGGGAGATTTTCCCTTACGTTTTGTCTCAGTGACACCAAAGAAAGTGAAATCTCCACCAACGGAGACACAAGGGGAATAAAACCGAGGTCCTAACTTTTCCAAACTCTCTCCAGAACAAAAAAAAAAGGGTTTGGCTACAATTCCGCTTAACAAATGGTGACAAGATTGAGTCAGAAGGCCCAACACCGCAGACAGAAGACCTTGATGATATTTCAATTCCTTTGGTTATTAGATCATGTGACATGGCACAACCTATACTGTCACGGATCTCAAGTGCATGTTGTAAGGCCCGGTTCACACCTAGGCGTATTGCATATGCGCGTCTGTCGCACGCTTTTTTTTAACCGCGATTGGCGGTAAAAAAAATCGCGCGCCGAACGCGCGTTTCCGAGGGCTACTTGGCTGTATCCCAATGGAAACGCGCAACAAAAACGGCCCAAAGTAGTACCTGTACCTTTTCAGGCGTGGGCCGTTTTGTAGCGCGTTAGGGACGGGCTGAAATACGCCGAGGTGTGAAACAGACCCATTGAATACAATGGGATTTAGATGTTTGAGCGTTTAGTAGAGCGTTCGTCGAGCGCAGAACGCGCTACAAAACGTTCAGGTGTGAACGAGGCCTTAGGCCCCCGTTCACGTATAGCGACATACCTTTGCAGCGGCCGGGATAGCGCGACTTTCGGGGCGACGTTCCAGCGACGATCCAGCGACGGTAGCGCGACCTTCTCCGTCGGGCTCCGTAGAATAAAAGCAAAAGCGCGCAAAATCCGCCGAAAAAAGGGTCCGGTAGAAGCGACTTGCGACGAGCGACGCGCGACATGGAGTTAAGACAGCTCCATTGAATAGCATTGGCCGGCGACTTCTCGTGATACGGCGCGGCACAAATACGTGATATCGCGGCGGAAATCGCGCGACAAGTCGCTATATGTGAACGGGGAGTGTTAGCTTGGAAGGATCCTTTTCTAACTCTAGCTAGAAAACAAGAAGTTGGCCGCAGATAAGCTTTCCACAAATAGAATGAAGATCAATGAAAGCGAAATGACAGGAAGTGTCCGTATTATTCAGATACAAATATGTAAATGTTTTGGAATCGTATCATACGTGACGCTCTATAACATCCATGTGGCGTTGTGGGGGCGAAGAGCTCTTCCCACCCGCGCAGCTGACATGCCGCCCGGATACGTAACCACCAACTGTCCCCGATAATATTATCCCAAAACGCCCGACAACAATTGGCTTCAGGCCACAGGCTACACCGTGCCAGAGACCCTTCACATGTCACCTACAGATATCTAATTGGCTGTTAGCCGTTTGCATATTAAAAGGGAACCTGTCATGTAAAATAAAAGAGAGAAAAGCTCCAATAATATGAACCAAAAAAAGCTACAAACGGTTTGATTGACCAAAGAGCTAGCAATCAGTTTCCTAAGGAACCCAAATCTTTCCCTTTGCCGTTTGTCAGCTTTTCCTGCAGGAGATGGTTAGAGACTACAGGCATACTCAGAGAGATGGTCAGAGACTACAGGCATACTCAGAGAGATGGTCAGAGACTCCATGCATACTCAGAGAGATGGTCAGAGACTACAGGCATACTCAGAGAGATGGTCAGAGACTCCATGCATACTCAGAGAGATGGTCAGAGACTACAGGCATACTCAGAGAGATGGTCAGAGACTACAGGCATACTCAGAGAGATGGTCAGAGACTACAGGCATACTCAGAGAGATGGTCAGAGACTACAGGCATACTCAGAGAGGTGGTTAGAGACTACAGGCATACTCAGAGAGATGGTCAGAGACTACAGGCATACTCAGAGAGATGGTCAGAGACTACAGGCATACTCAGAGAGATGGTCAGAGACTACAGGCATACTCAGAGAGATGGTCAGAGACTACAGGCATACTCAGAGAGATGGTCAGAGACTACAGACATACTCAGAGAGATGGTCAGAGACTGCAGTCATGCTAGGAGAGATGGTCAGAGACTACAGGCATACTCAAAAAGATGGTCAGAGACTACATGCATACTCAGAGAGATGGTCAGAGACTACATGCATACTCAGAGAGATGGTAAGAGACTCCATGCATACTCAGAGAGATGGTCAGAGACTACAGGCATACTCAGAGAGATGGTCAGAGACTACAGACATACTCAGAGAGATGGTCAGAGACTGCAGTCATGCTAGGAGAGATGGTCAGAGACTACAGGCATACTCAAAAAGATGGTCAGAGACTACATGCATACTCAGAGAGATGGTCAGAGACTACAGGCATACTCAGAGAGATGGTCAGAGACTACATGCATACTCAGAGAGATGGTCAGAGACTACATGCATACTCAGAGAGATGGTCAGAGGCTGAGTTAAACAAAAGCCCCCTTATTGGCCCTTCTAAGCCTGCTGGCCATGTGCTGCTTTATGGTTTGGGGAAAATTCTCCCGGGTGAATCTGCAGATAAAATTCGCCGAGAACCCGAATCTCAAGCCTGCAGGATTCACCTCAGGCCCATGGTAGTTGGCGAATGGCGAGCCTCATCCCTACTTCCGATAGCAAGCTTCTCTCATCTCAGACCCATAGCTGTGCCCCATGGTTGTGCCATAACATAGTGGCATCACCTCCACCATCGTCCACCATCGTCCACCAACGTCCGCCATCGTCCACCATCGTCCACCAACGTCCGCCCCTATTATTCATGGCTCTACCTCCTCTAGGCCACCTTAACAGAAATGTCCTTTTTTTTTTTGGAGCATCTAAAGCTATCAAGCCACAAGGTCACACCACATCACGGATTATGATAGGGATCACCAGCTACATAGGGATGACTGTGGAATCACGCTGCAACGAATAAACACCACACACGCGCTAGGGCCACGAATCACGGGGGGGTTACACAAGCCATTGAATTACTGTGGTTTTCTGAGGAATGGTTAGGATGCATTAACCACTGGAGCTTTCCCTTCCTCCTGCTCGTCAGATCAGCCAACGTGACGCCTGTACGTGAAAGACAGACAGACAGACATTGCACGGGACAGACAAACAGACGTCGTGCACAAAGAAATACAAAGCGATGCGGGACGCGAGACGGGTCGTATGTGGTCAAGCGGGCGCGGTGTACGGGAACAAGGAGGCCATTGGGAGGGACAGACAGACAGAGACCTGTAGAGTAGGTAACATCCTTAGGGGTAGGGGGGGGTCCTAATGCAGATTTCCTGAACAATAAAAAGCCTGGACTGATGGGTAAAGGAGGATATACCGAGGGTATGGACTGATGGGTAAAGGAGGATATACCGAGAGTATGGACTGATGGGTAAAGGAGGATATACCGAGGGTATGGACTGATGGGTAAAGGAGGATATACCGAGAGTATGGACTGATGGGTAAAGGAGGGTATACCGAGGGTATGGACTGATGGGTAAAGGAGGGTATACCGAGAGTATGGACTGATGGGTAAAGGAGGGTATGGACTGATGGGGAAAGGAGGATATACCGAGAGTATGGACTGATGGGTAAAGGAGGATATACCGAGGGTAGACCCACTGCAACATAACCAATCAGAACTATTGTATTATCTATTATTATATGATCTGACTACAAGGCACACATCAATGCAGCATTGTAACCATTAATACATCATTCCATGTGGAAGTACCTTCATTTACCTTGGTGTCAGCCTCTTGCAGTCCCTGTACAGCAGAGCTCAGAAAAGGGGGAGGGAGAAGCAGCACTAGGAACCAGTCAGTGTTGCAATGCAAAGAGCATGCTGATAGGAGGAGAGAGTAGTATAGAGAGAGAGAGAGAGAGAGAGGGAGAGAGAGAGTGAGACAGATAGCAAAAGTGAGAGTCTGAGAGCTAGAGAGAGTGAGAGAGAGAGAGTGAGCGAGCGAGCGAGTGAGAGAGAAACAGAGAGAGAGCGAGTGAGAGAGAGCGAGTGAGAGACAGAAAGAGAGAGACAGAGAGAGAGCGAGTGAGAGTGTGAGAGAGAGAGAGAAAGTGAGAGAGAGAGAGAGAGAGTGAGCGAGCGAGTGAGAGAGAAACAGAGAGAGAGCGAGTGAGAGAGAGCGAGTGAGAGACAGAAAGAGAGAGACAGAGAGAGAGCGAGTGAGAGAGAGACAGAGAGAGAAAAAGCGAGAGAGGGAGCGAGATAGTGAGAGAGAGAAAGAGAGAGACAGAGAGAGAGCGAGTGAGAGAGACAGAAAGAGAGAGAGAGAACGAGTGAGAGAGAGAGAGCGAGAGAGAGACAGAAAGTGAGAGAGAGCGAGTGAGAGAGAGCGAGTGAGCAAGTGAGAGAGAGAGAGCGAGTGAGAGAGCGAGACAGAGAGAGAAAGAGAGAGAGAAAGCGAGAGAGGCAGAGACAGGATGGATCCTGTGTGCGTCGAGTACGGACACCCGGACAGATGTGCAGTTCGGGTGAGCGTAGGGGGGCGTACCACCATAGAGAAGGACAAGGGCTGCCTACAATCACACGCAGCACCTGTCCTCCCCGGGAGCGGACCGATACGGCCGTGCACGCCGCACGGATCTGTACGGGCCGACACTTAGCTTGGTGAATGAGGCCTAAGCAGGGCGAGTGTGACCCCCTGCAACTCTTCTGGGTTTGCTCAATATCCTGATTCGGCAAGGCTCCGAGCTCGAGGACGGAGACAAAATGGTAGATGAATCATCTCCGCTGCACTGTAGTCACGTTATGACTTTTGTATATCCGTCGGTTCGGTTACTCACGGTTGTGTCTTTCTTCTCGGTCGTCTCCTTCTGGCTCGATGTCCTCAGCTTGGGTGATCCAGTCTAGATAACCCATCAGATCTTCCTCCATCTGCTGCTTCTCCCTCAGCTTCTGGAAGTCGCCGCGGGCTTTGGCCTTCTCTCTCTCCTTGGAGAACTCGCTGACAATGAAATAAAGTGGAGGGTTACGCGCATCAGCAACCGCTCCAGGATCTGCACAGGAAAGTTGTTCTTCAGTGAACAAATATTTCACGTTATTTTTTAAGTATTTACAAAAACCACTTGCAGACCTTGGACATACAAGGTGTGCTCCCCAAAATGTCCTTTCAATTTCTTTCCGCCATACTCTCCTGGTAGGGTTGCCACCTGTCCAGGATTCACCCGGACAGTCCGGGTATTGAATGCTGTGTTCGGGTTTCATGGCAGCTGAAACCCGGACACATGATGTCAGGCAGACAGGGGCAACCAAAATCGAGATAGGGGCTACTGCCCCCCC